AAAAGAAAAGAAAAAGTTTAAAGGTTATTCTAATGATAAGATAAGTGTAGAAGATTACGTTCAGTTAGCAAGCGGACATGATGTGTCGAACGAATTTAATAAACCATGGGAAAAAAGTTTCACCAATGGAGTAGTTATTCCAAATGATAAACAAACTAAAGTTTTTAGAAGTTATTTGAATAATGTTAAAAGAAAACCACCAAACAGTGAAGGAATTATGTATCCTTATAACGACAAAGATGAGTATAGTTTTGACGAAAACTATGAATTTGATGATTTCGATTATCTTACTATTCAAGAAGAGAATGAAGATTGTTTTAAATGAAGTTGAATGACAATTTCTTCGTTGCCAAAGTCTATGAACCCGTTTTTACCGTCTTAGATTTCCAGATTTATATCTTTGATCATGAAAGAATTGACTGGTAAATAGGTCGTTTGAGACGGTTTCTCTATAATTCTGTATCCGATCGGCACCGTAAAAGTCGGTATGCTGTATATGATTTGGCGTTTGTGCTTGTTGAAAAATCCACCGTTGATCAAATTACAGTGAATGTTGATCACGTCGATGTCGTTCTCGATGTTGGCCTTGTGCGGCGCCAATGTCGATTGCGCGTATATTCGTTTATCGAACCCTAGTAACGCATTCAACGAATTTTCTACGTTGAAATCGACTTGACTGTTATTTCTCAAGATCAGTTTCATTTTGTTCAGATTCAAATTACCTTCGAATTCGATATTGTTTTTGCCGTTCACGCTTCCTGCGTATTCGGATAGGTAATCGTTGATGGCCACGTGTTCGTAGCTTCCCGCTAGTAAGCTTATGGTTTTGAACGTAACTCCGTTATCCGTCAATATTTTTAGTTGATTGTTTTTTTCGTTGATGTTTCTAATGGAATTGTAAACGGAGAAATACTTTAATCCCAGTTCGTACTGTTTATTGCGATCGAGTTCATACTCGTAGTCTAGAGACAATTTGATATCTGATTTATTCGAGGTGATAACGAACAATTGTTCTTTATTGGACATTTTTAATGACATTTATATAGTCTTTTTTAGTGATGATTTTTTTCTCCAAAGCCGTTTTAATATGCCATTGACTTCGTTGTATTGTCTGTCCGATCGATGACCTTCCTTCATGGCCGCTAATATCATTTCTAATCTATTAAGCAATTCTTTATTGTTGTCGGATAAAAACGTTATACCTGTCCAGATGCCACCATATCATCGAATTCGTCTATTTCTTGTATGATTGGATAATCTTCTGCATAATCATCTACATCCTCTTCATCTTGCTCAATAACTTTTGTTATATATGAATCAACTTCTTTCAATCTTCTTGTTTCGTGTCCTGACTTTCTGATCGCATGTAGAAATTTTGAGTATGCTACTAAATCCTTGTAATCGGCAATTTCAACATCCTCGCCATTCATTAAATCTATTAATCCTCTCGTTAATGTAAATATAAAGTCTTTTGTGTCGATTTTGAATTGTGGTGAATTTCCACTAAATCTTATTCTAAAACCATTAAACAACAAACCCTCATCATCAACGATTGGTGAAATGCTCTTTGGTAAATCTGGGTCAGGGTTTGAAAGAAGACGTTTTATATCATGTAATGTCTTAATTATAATACCATTATATTCAATCGCTTTGGTTTCTATACGAGGGGTGGGTTCTATAACGAGTCTCTTTTTAATATCTTCTTGACTTTTTAATATGGGTTGAAATAGAGTCTGTAGATTTTCCGTTAATCCGAGTTGTTGCAATCTGTTATTTTCAACGTGGGTCTTTATTTTATTCTTAGCTTTGATATATTCTCTATTTCTTTTTAAAAAATTATTCCAATCCGTCATTTTTAAAAAAATAAAAATTAACATATATCGATCATAACTCTTTCTCCCGCAGGTTTTCTAGTATTTACAAATACATATCCATGATCATCTGGGTTTCTCCATTGAGCTTTACAAACCTTTTTAAATGTATCTCTATCCATTCCGTGATTTATAGACTGAATGATTTGAGATAAATCTTTATCGTTTAATTCAAATAATAAAAAACAATTCGCATTTTTTCTAATGAACATAGAATCCATCCCGTAAAAAGATTGGGATTGGTATATGCAGTGACAGTTGTGATGTCTTCCTTTGGTGAAGAATTCTTGTTG